TTATTATCAATATTATTTTTACTATTATCATTATTATTTTTATTATTACTATCGTCTGGCATTATTAATGTCTCCTTATAAATATGTCCAAAAAATATTTCACAATTTACAGCTCACATTCAAGGTCAAGAAGAGGAAATTGAGGTAAATTATCTACCAATTAACAAGTAAAACAATTCAAATAATTAGTTCTGACAAAAAAAAAAAATTAAAAAGGAATGTTTTCACTAATGGTAAGTAATGAAATTCTTTCTAGAAAGAGAGAGAGAGAGAGAGAGAAAACATCAAATAACTTAAGTTCCTGTAACCTTAACCCACATAGAAATCATTAGTTAACCATTGGAGAGGACAAATGAAACGCTCATTCCATAAAATAACCTCACAAATTAATCATTGCCAAACTATCTTAAAAGGTCATAAAAATCTGTTCGAATTCTTTTTTTTTTTTGTAAAAAATGTTTGGATTGATACAATCGCCTATGGCAATTAACCATCATTAAATGCGTTATTTGTATCATTTCAGGTTATCAATTTCTCGCAATCTCGAACATCCTCAAAAAAAAAAGAAAAGATATTTCCCCCAAATGCTGTGATAATGCATCAAATGCTCAATCTACTATCACTTGATTAGTACCGTAATTTTCCCTACACCATTTTACCATAGAAATGTTTGATTGACCTTCAAATCAAAAATTCACTGACCACCTCCTCCTCATTTATCGACCGGTAATTACCTTGCCTTTTCTATTTTCAATGCACAATGTTCATGTAAATCCTCCAATTAACTTTGATAGACGAAAAAAGGGATAAAGTAGTATTAATACATTTGTATTTCAGCTATCAGTAAGTGGTTTCTTATCCCAAAAAAAAAAAGCTAAAGAAAAAAGAAAATTATTTATCGATCAGTTTTTACTAAATATTAATTTAATAATATGAAATTAACAGAAGAAAGGGACGAAAAAAAAGAAACAAAAGATTAGTTATAATTTAATTTTATTCAACTATAATCCATAATTAACATGTCTACAAATTTTTTGCATTCAAATTATCATAATTTTACCTATTTTTAAAAAAATTAAAATAAAATTTTCTAATTTAATTTCATATTTACATTTTTTGTAAGAAAAAAAAGAAAAAGTATATTTAAAAATTTGTAATAAAAATGAATACAGTACACAGTGCAAAAATCAAAAATATCAAAGTAAACATTGGAATTTATATTTTGAAATGGATTAATAAATTTTGACCATCCGAATTTGCATTCAGCTAATCAAAATTTATTAATTCGGGAGTAAAATTTGATTTAAACTGGAAAAATGACAAAAAAAACATTTAAATTTATATTTTTAACAGAATTGATAAATATTAAAAAAATGCATTTTGAACTGAATTAACATCCAGACAATCAAAATTTATTAACTCGAGAGTAAAGCTTGATTTAAACTGAAAAAATATTTGAGTCGAAAAAAAATGAAATGAAATTGAGCATATAAAGATAATTGAAATTAAACACACGAAAATTATGAGGGATTAAATAAAGTAAAACCTGTAAATATCATAATTTCAATTTTATGAAATTTTCAAAAATATTTCAAATATTTTGATATTAAAATTAAAAAGTCTAAAAAAATACGAATAATTTTATCATTTCATCAGAACATTAAAAGTGTCCCTCATTTAATATTAATTAATTAATGAATTGATTAATCAATGAAGAAATTGTTTCATAAAAATTGCCAATTTTTATACTTTTTGTTTATCAAAAACATTCATGTCAACTTCTTTTTCTTTATCAATTTTTAATATTTTTTGTTTATCAAAAAATTTCATGTCAACTTCTTCTTTTTTATCTGTCATATTTTATTAACATGAAATTTAATTCCAATTAATTGTCAACTTTTATTTAACTAATTATGAATGATATATATATAAAAGTGTGCTAATGATAATTATTATTATCAGAGCGAAATTTTTATAAATGTTTCAACACACACATATACACATACACATACATAAGCACACACATCTACACACACAAATACATATACATACATACATACACACACACACACACACACACACACACACACACACACACATACGCACAAACAATACACACACATACACATACATACATATACATATATATGTAAACATCATTTAGAAATGTCATTTAAATAATTTTAAAAATTTAAAAATCTTTTAAACTTGAAAAGTTTTTTTCCTTTGATGAATATGTTAGGAATGTATTAAATTCTAATTTTTGTTTCGTGTTTTTTAGACGCTTCTTTCTTTTTTTTTGTTAAATGAGAAAAGCTACTAAAATAAAAAATAGAAGAAATTAAAAAATGATATGAATTGAGTAAAAGAACGACGAAAGATAACAAATGAGCTGATATGTAATTAAAATGGTTCAAATTAAATAAATTACTATCAGAATGCTTAATTAAAATGTAAATTGATTGAAATGATAATAAACTAATATATAAAAATGATTTGAATAATTAAAATAATTCAAATTAAATAAATTGCTATCAACATGCTTAATTAAAATATAAATTGATTGAAATGATAATAAACTAATATATGGAAATGATTTAAAATAACTTAAATAATTAAGACAATTCAAATTAAATAAATTATTACAACCATGCTTAATTAAAATATAAATTGATCGAAATGATAATAAACTAATGTGTGGAAATGATTTCGATAATTAAAATAATTCAAATTAATCAAATTACAATTAGCATGCATAATTAAAATCATCGTGCGGAGATATCACTTCAATTGAACACAACAAAAAGTTTATCCTTTATTAGATGTTCCTTTTTTTTTTTTTTTTGTTATTTTTTGCATAAAGAACAAAAGGCTTAAAACTAATTCGATGAAATTTAAGTTAATTAATATGAATGGGATATAAGTTGCAATTAGCCAAAACTTATTCAATTAACCATTAACATGGTATTGCTTACAATAATTTAAACAAATTAATTAATGCGTTACAAATAATAATCCATTCATTCACATACCTCAACATTAACTAGCTATCATTTTAAGTTGCCTGATTAGCTAATTTAATTAATAAATAATTAATCTAGAAACAAAGAAAAGGAGCGCAAAGGAAAAATTATGATTTTATGATTTCTTTTTGCTGGAATGCAAATACAATTGGTTGCTTTCGGAAGAAATAATCCAATTCTTTTCAAATTTAAAAAAAAAGACCAAAAAATTCTTTCGTATTTTTCATGAAATTTTCATGGTGAAAAGAAAAGGAAAAATATTTTTGCAATAATTTCATTATTATGTCAAATATTATTCATTTCAATTTTAATTACCTGCAAAAAAAAAAAACAAGAAAAATGGAAATTTTTAAACAATCTGTTATTTTATTAGTTAAAAAATTATTGAAAATAAAAGAAGCAAATGTTTCCTTCCCATTTTTTTTTGATACTAAAAAAATTTTGAACTTATATTTATACATAAAATATTTTATTGAAATATCTGGGAAGAAAAAAAATGATTATTTTATTAATTAGTATTTTAATTTTAATGCAAATTAATTATGAGGTGGATTACTTCACTAATTAGTATTTCAATTCTTATTGCATACTTCTCTACTAATTAATGTTTTAATTTTTATCATATATTATTCTATTAACTTTCGTTGAATATAATATATTAATCCATGCTTCTTTAATTTTAATGCTAATTCAAATATAACAATTTATTTGTGAAATTAAAATCGGAACATTATTAATTACGAATGATACAATGATAAAATAGTGAAAAATGTCTTCTTTTTTTTTTTTAAATTTCTTTGATAAAAATGTCAGTCATAAAATTTTTTTTCTCGAATTAAATTAATTAGCTTATTTTCTACATTTTGAACTAATTGATCATTCATTATTGGCTAGTATGAAATGCCATTATCTAAATTTCTTATCAACCTTTTTGATTATATTATTATCATCGCCTTTTCCTATTATTACCAATCATTTATCATTTCTATCATTTATCATTATCATATCACACTGCCTCTCGTATTCTTCATGATAATTACAATAATAATTATTAATTAACAAATTATTTCATTCAAATCGTTGATTATTTTTGCATAAATTATTACAAGACATATAGCATAACTAATTGTATTTCGCCCATAAATTGTGGAGATTGATATGAATTGCAAGCAAAAAATTGTTTGCTATTTGACATGCAGAAAAGGTCAAATAGTAAACAGCTTAATTTACAACAAACAGTTGACACATATTTAGCATGTTGACAAGTTTAAGAAAAAAAAAAAAAAAA